GTGTGTGTGTGTGTGTGTGTGTGTGTGTGTGTGTGTGTGTGTGTGTGTGCGTGTGTGTGTGTGCGTTTTTTTGTATCTTAGCAATGCAAGAACGCGTATTGTCGAAGAGTTGCCTCTGTGTGTGTGCGTCGTCTGTACGTCTTTACTGATTTTTCATCTCGATACCTACAAAAGCTACTGGGTTGAAACTTTGGGAACTTAATCTACATGTGTGTGCGGCCCCCATCCCCAAAATGGGTGCTCCTACCCACATGAGTCCCACGTACGGGCCCGATAAAGTTTTTGGTGGATAAGCTGCTAACTCGGGAACCAGAAAAGCTAGGAATCTGAAATTTTTAGGGGATGTTTCCCATCTTAACGAGTTCAAACCCAGCTTGCAGGTATGCGTAGTCTCGATGGGCCCGTGAAGTTTTTTTGTTGGTGGGTTGCTAACTCAGGAACCTGGGAAGCTATAAGGCTGTAGTTTGAAGGGGATGCTCCGACCCATCTAAGAAATTAGTGGCTTTAAGCTCTGCTCCCATGAATCAGAAGATAATTGCCAGCACACCGACTGCAGGTGCGAATATGCGTTTTTTACATAGTTCCTTGCAGGTTTTTGTCACTAACGGCGCAGTTTTTCCGATAAATACTTCTAACTACAAGAATTGAGACTGGTCACCAGGACTGTCGTGATCTTCACGTACAGGCCAGCGGAAATTTTTGGCGGATAAGTTGTTAACTAGGAAACCAGAAAAGCTAGAAAACTGAAATTTTAAGGGGATGTTTCGTGACAGTCCTAGTGACCAGTCTCAATTCTTTTAGTTAGAAGCATCTGTCGGAAAAACTGTGCCGATAGTGACAAAAACTTGCGGGGAACTATGCAAAAAACGTATCTGCAGTCGGACCTGCAATCGGTACGCTGGCAGTTATCTTCTGATTCATTACCGTCCCAACGGCTTTCTTAACTGAAACATATGGTAAGGGTTTAGTTGTTTCAAGAAGTCCTTGCTTCGACCATCTCAGCTTCATCACAGTCATTTTCTCGTCACAGTCTTGTTACCAATAATAATGCAAATAAAAATCATTTTGCATTTTTAGATATTTTTGTTAATATTCAAAATGCAGTCCACTCCTCTGAGTTCTAGGAAGGACAGGGACTAGCTGATGAATTATTCAGTGACTGTGAGCCTCACAGGCAATAAATCTCTTTATTTTTTCATTTTTTATCGAAAAAAAACGCTTCATGATTTGCTGGTTTGCACTATATCAGAAATAACTAGTAGCTGAAAAAACAGTTTTTGATGGTATTTTTTATGGTAACTGCAAAAGGGGTAAACTGAAGTTGTAATTTTAATTTTAGGTGATGTGTGTTTATGTAAAAAGTAAGGGTTAAAGAGAAAGGAATAAAAGGAAGGTGAATAAGATAAATCGGATTAAAAAACCTGAATAGGAATGTTTCGCTCCATTAAGTCGCATACATTCCTGTTCAGTGCTGCAACTGGACCTAGTCATTGTGACGGTTTCAGCAAAAATAACATGCAAAGTGTTAAAAAGAAAAGGGGGAATTTTGAAAATGTAAAAAGGTTGAAACTCAGGCAATTTTGATTTACCGTTGGGAGGTTTCCTAGATCTTCTCAGGGATGTGGTTCGCAGTTGTTTTCCGGGAACTGCATTCTGCGAGTTGTTACCTTATTGCGTTCATTTTAAGGGTACAGTACTGGATCGAATTGATTATAACGTGGAACAGGCAACACTCAGGGTTAAATCGGCTTTGACAAGCGTGCAACGTGCTGAGAAATATCAGCGAGGCGACAGAAAAATGTATTGTATTGTTATTTTATCCATATCAATTATAGTTCTACTTATTCTTTTGATCATCGTTAAAACATGATGGCGCAAATATCCGTGAACATCGATTGGGCATATTTCGTAAAGCGGAAACCAAGAATGACGGAAAGAAGGTGAATTGGACGTTTTTAAACCTGACCGGCAGTTCTGTTTTTGAATTAGTGGATGTGGGAGATTTCTAAAATCTTTCTGTTTTTAGTGGCAGTAAACTTAGAATTTGACAGCATTCCAACTGGGCACAAGTAATTTTGCTTTGATTAAACAAAATATATTTAATTTTTCTGAAAATTTTTATTAAAAATATAAAAATTTGTGCGAAAAAATTTTTTTTTGTACAAACTTTTTGTCAAAATGTATTCACTGCATGTATGCATTTTTTTTGCTTTGACACTTCAATCAGTTGTTATTTCGTTGTTGTTCTACAGTGGCTGCTAACTTCTCCATTCTTCTCTGTTTTGTGCTTGACGCTTCCTCGTCACTCGTTACAATCGTTCAAGCGGATCCTTTCACCACATTAGCAGCTTTTCTATTGTTCATTTATCATTTTGCGGGTATCATTTCGAAAAAATAAATGTATGGGATATTTTTTGTACAGTTTTTAACTTACTTAACCCATTATATGTATAAATATTACAATTAAATTAGCCAGTTATCATGTCCCATATGTTTGTTTTTGGAATTACGATACTTTTTTAGCATAACTTTTTAACGTTTCGTGTAATAATAGTTTTGCTTTACTGATAGTTAAGATGTTTATTGTTGTTGAGTTCCCCATCGTGAGCAAGAAGACAGTGCTGATAGCATATTTGCTCGAGTATATATATAAGTGTTTTATAAGTAAGATATTTGTATGACCGGGCTGCTTGAATATTTATAGGTATTTTTGAGACGATTTTTGCGAATATTCACCTGTCCTTCATTCGATATGCGTAACAAAAAACCGCGTTGACTCATAATAGTTTATATATAAATTGCAGAGTAAACAGAGAAGTTATAATTTCCTGAGATCCTGGGTTTTTTCCTTGAACTGCTGCTTTTTGTATTTCAATCGCGTTTTTAGACGTCATTTTTTATGCATATTTATTATGCGTTTTGTGCTGTGTAACAGCAGTACAAAACACATATTGTCACGGGGTTTTCTG